CCGTCTGAGGCGGCCGAGGCAGCGCCGCGAAGCGAGGGGAGTACGTCATCCTGCCCGACACAGAGCGAGAGAGGGGCCGGTCGTCCCTACAGAGGAGCGCGCGTTAACGCTCATTGCGGCGAGTGAGAATATCACAAAGAATCGGGCAATTACATTTTTAGAAATGGTTTTCTTTACGGCGTGCGTGCTGATGGGAGCACCCTGTGTGTTGCTGGCACATCTCACAGCTGCAGCAGCAACCAGGTTAACGTGTGCTCAGGAAAAATTGTATTAAATTGGTGAAATTTGACAACGATGTCAGGTTAAAAATAGTTCTCTGAAAGCGTTAGACCTCTTTGAATATTCCATGATACGATTTTTCTAAATAAAAGCTGAGGTTTTGAACTAGTAAAGTGTCTATTTGAGAAAAAAAGATTTTACAGAAGAGTAAACTGAGAAATGGGAACAGATTTTTCCTTTTAATAATTGCAAGCAATATCTCAAACTCACCAATCTTAAACCATTGAGCTATGTAGTATGAATGTGCTAATTAATCAATTACTACCCAACAATGTACCCTGTTTATTTACTGTAATGTACGACACGTGTGTAGAACCAGTAATTATTAATCATTGTCAGTAACAAATTTGACTCAAGTTCACCTTCCTATAATTAATAGAGCATATAGTTAGCTTTAATATCTTTCTTTATTAGTGGCAACAATGAGGATAGAAAAGAAGTTGGAATCTGATACTGTGGCTCACTATGGTGAAGGGCCGAACTAATGTATTACACCTTAACAGCAATATTCTGCTCTTATATTTCATGGTCAAAAGTAAGTACATATTGCCTATAAAATGAACATAGCACAATTACTTCGACTTTTAAAAGTATTTATTTCAAGATATTTTGCTGTTAACTTTGTGTTGCTCTTATTGTTAAAAGTGCAAGAAGAACGGAAAAATCCTTCAGTCTCTGGCAGCATAACCTTGCACTGGTTAAGAGAACGTAGATGCACCTCTACTTGCACAACGTACTACAAATGGAATGAAGTAGCATCTGTATTTACAAATGCATAGCAAAACATTTCATACTTCAAAAGTATGCAAGAATCATGACCAAACATCCTAAAGATGAGGCTGGAAGTATTATGAAGCATTCCAAATGTCTTTGGTTAATAATATTTGGTTGCGCTATTCAGGTCTCTGTGTTCATTGGATTCTGTTAGTCTGACCAATTTTACATCAAAACAGTCTCCTGAAATGCACATCTTTGTGATGAAGCTAAAAACCAGTCTAACCATTCTTCAGTTGAGATGATATATTAAATTACATTCATGAAGGTTGTCAATGATTGTAGTACCTAATCTTGAGTGCCCAATAGCTGTAACAAAATCTGTAGTCTAAAATGAAATACAGAGGATCCTTATACTATAAGCAGGAGTACCTCAGATCTATGATAGGTGATTTGTTAAATGGGAAATGAGGTTAGGTAATCACTGTGAAATGTGGAGGACCAGGTTAGTCTTAAAATTCCAGGGATTCATTAACTTAACCTAAATGGAAGGTGGTAATTTCTCCTGAACAATCTGTTTGAATGAGGTATCAGAGATCTTTCAGGAGATGGGTAGGGTAAGTATTTCAGAAGACATCTGGAAGTGGTTGTGCTGATGAGCTGCTTTTTTGCTTTGTGCCCAGAGTTGTCATTCTAAATGTGGAAACTTGGGCTGAATGCCCTTTTTTTGCAGGGCTTTAAACCCAAATACCTAAAAAGGGAGACCCAGCCATACCTGAGCCATCTTTTATCTTTTGATTCCCATTTGCTCCATTTTCTTCCCAGTCTACATGTTCTGAAATTCAGGCTACAGTTCAGAAATTCTATTAGTCCTTTAGTGAGTGGGAATAAATAATCCAGTTGTGTGAACATGACTATATTTCTGACTTTTTTTTTTTAAAGATTGTAATTTTATATCTGCTGTATTGCTAAAAAAATACATTTTTGGCACCAGTAGCATGGGAGTTGAATGTGAGAGACTATAAAGCAGTGTCAGTCCTTCCATCAGCTCAACGCTCAGAAGTGTTAATAGTAATTAAAAACTTTTTTTCCTCAAAATACATTTCACACTTTGCACATACTGAGAAATCTCTCTCACCATGGGAACTTTCAGATCACTTGTTCCCTGCAAAAACAGGTACAGTTTTCTTTTGTCAGAATAGAACAAAGACATAAGGAAGTGCAGGTTTCATTTACTCCTAGGACACTGCAGTCTATTAAGTGCCAGCGAACTAATGAGCCTCTCAGACCTTATGTTGTTCTGGCTTAGATCACGGCTTAATTTTCCTTAACCCTTAAGAAACTAACCGACTCCTAGGTTGATACTGCCATGCTCCTCTATGCCTCCTTTTCCCCCAGGGTATTGCTTCTACTGACCAAACTGGGACATTATATAGCTTGGGTATGAAGCCAGGTGAGAAATCTACAGAGAGCTTCTTAGCAGTAAAATAGGGGAGAGCGCATTACAAATGCGGTGAGGAAAAACTCACAACATACTGTTCTGCAGCCCCTCAAAGTAGAACAGAGAACAAATACATCTTATCTTGTTGGAAGAACTAATGAGCAATTATACTGTGCTTTTTGGCATATTATTTCTTGGCAAGTGAGAGATCATTGTTGGACCTACCACAGCCAAAAATACCTCTGTTACTTTTCATTTCTAACCATAAAGACTTCCAGGAAGTTCATTCACTGGCTGAATTTCACATTAGAAAAATCTGTGTGGACTCTGGTACATCCAAAACTAAGACCATATTGAGATCACGTGTAAGAAAGGCACAAAAAAAACCAAACAAAAATATTCTTTCAGATTTTTACTTGAAACAGGGATCAGCATTTATGCAAACATTCTCATCTGCAATTAATACTTCTGTGACCAAAGTAGAAAAGAAAAAGGCTAACACAAAAGATAATATATGAAGCTAACGGATCAAAGACTTGGGCATCGGAAAAACTGGGCGCTGACCTGCTGCAACTGCTCGGTCACATTAATTATTTGTCTTAAAAACTGGTTTTGCCTGAGCTTTTTGGGAAGTAATCTCAAAGATACGTGCCATGCTTGGGACAATAGTATCCATCCAGTGGAGAAGATGCACTCTTCTATGGTAAAATTTAGAATGTGTTGTCTGTTGGGATATTAGAGATTTGATGGATAAAGATAATTTTACAAATGTAACAGTTGTCCTTTAACATAACAGTGCACAGCAATTGTTACAAAAAAAGTCACCAGTATCTGAAATAGATAATGTATCTGATAGATAGATCTGCAAAAGACATGGTGTACTGGGAATCATAGTAGAAGTATAATTCTAATGGTCCTCTTAGAATCTATTGTTGAGCTAGTGCTATTACTATTATCTTTGATAATTTGAAAGTGAACATAAAACAACTGCAAAAATCTGTAGATAACAAAAGAGAGCAGAATGGTAACAATATGGACAGCAGTTCTGAAGAGGAATCTGGGTTGCTGGGCTTACTGATAAGGTGGCATTTAATATATTTATTATAGGCAGAAGACTGGACCTACTTTCATGTTGGAAGCTTGTATTTTAGAAATCAATAGGTTTGAAAGGGAATTTAGGGTCACAGGACTGTTCAATAGAGTACGATCTAGTCTGATCTAGCGACAAAGACAGCGTGATCCCTCTATGTATATCCAGGGGCATATGAAACAGAAGAAAGTGGCATTTTCATTGTATAACATCACTGAGAGAATGACTGGAATACCTCATGAGGTTTGGGTCACCACTTCTGCAGGGATGTTAGCAAACTGAATCTGGCTCGGGAGTTCTGACTCAAGGAACAGAAGGGTTCATCCCACAAAGAGGTGTCATTTTAGAGTAAACAATTCTTCAGACAAAGATGTAACTTCCAATTCCTGGAAGTTGAAGGCAAACAAATGCAGCCTGCGCTTAAGGCACTGGCTTCAACAGTAAGGATAATTAACCCATGGGAGAATTTGCTAGGTGTGCAGTGGATTGTTTATGTTTATGAACCTATCTTTATGAAGATATGTTAAGGACAGTTCTAAGTTGTAGGCTTGATGAAGGAATCACTTGGTAAAATTTTAAGGTCTGTGCTCTGCAGGTTGGAGTAGATTGTTTCCTCTGCCTTAGAGGCAATGATTCTATTAGTAAGATTTTAAAAACACATAGTATACTTCAGGAACGACAATATGAGCATCAGGGGCATTTATTACGATCCTCTGCTTTTCAAGAGTTTATTTTTGTGAAAGAAGGGATATTCTTCTAAACACCGCACTCAGAAATCATGGAAATGTGCTGTCTCAGTTAATACTACTTCACATGCCAACACAGAAGGAAAACCAAACCTGTTCTTACAGATGAGAAGGCGTTTCCAGAAGCATAAAGAATAAGGCACTTAACGGAAAATGTTTAACTATTCTTTCAGAGCATCTGCTTTCGAAGGTTGCTCTTCTTCCAATTTCAGTTTGTTTTCTGCTGTAATTCCTAGAGTTGCTTCAATATCTTGAATTGCCATCTGTAACAGATTCAAGGAATACAAGTTATTTAATGGGCATTATAATGAAATCTAGCAGCCAAAATGCACAGCTGGTAGTACTTGTCTTGAAAAGGTAACCAGTGTTACACAGGACATGATGCACCAATTAAATTTACTATTACTTTGGGGACAGTTGGGGGAATTATTAGTAAATATGTACAAATCTCAGGTAAATAAAAAACACAATTTGTTGCAATTTGTACTTCTAATTAACTAACAGGTGTTCTATTTCACATATGTAAATCATTGTTAACTCTCTATGAAGAAGAGTTCCCTTTTATATTTTTCTTCAATGGTTGCTTTTCACTCCCTCATATTGAAAAGAGGGGTCCGTTTGTTTGTTTATTCTGTAACATGTTGAAATTTAATTATATCTTCTCTAAAACTGTAATTTCACACTGCTGGTCAGAGGAAAATATAGTCAGAGTTAACACTGGAAAGAATCTGATACAAATTATGTCATTTAAGATACAAATCTGTAACACACTGCTCCCCTTCACCTTTCTACAGAACACGTACAGACAGGATCTTAGAAACTTTTTATAAAGTTAAAGGTGATATAGTTTAGCAAAAGAACTCCCTCCGGAAAGTTTAGCTATTCTCTGGAATCAAAAAGCAGCACTGTAATGAGCGCTTGTTTCAGGGCACGGGGTTGGATTCATTATTGCTTTACTGTCTCCTTTTGCCAGCAAGGTCATCACAAAGGAGCTTCCGAGTAAAGGTGGGCACTCCTGGGGGAACGTTCCCAGTGTAACAAGCCCCTGCGCTTTGTCCTGCCTCCCCCCGCACCACCCCAGAGCATCCTCTGGCACACAGGGATGGGCGCTGCGGGCAGATTCAAAGAGCAGAGAAAATTGGGAACAAAATTGACTGGTGAAATTGATGGCGGGGCGAAAGATGTGAACTAATGGATTAAGTACTCAGTGGCTGCCTGCTTAAAAGAAATCAGTGTTAATAATCAAAGGAGCTATTATAAACTGAGAAGTTTGTTTCCAATTTAAGATTCCTACCTTGATGGTGTGTGTCTAAAATAAAAGGGACAATTGTGGTAGAATTGTGTGAGGCAGTGCCAATAGCTCCTTTTTGCTTCTTAAAACGGACAATCGGGAGCATTACGTTACAAATAATTTCACGCTAAAGTATGTCTCTTTTCAAAGAAAAAGTTTCAAACTTGAATTTAACTAACAGGTTCATTGGGAGACTTACTATATTGACCTAGACACTGTAAAATACATACCGCTAACAATAAAAAAGGAATGGTTTAGCACTTGTTTATGATACAGCATGAGGTATTTTCAGCCCTTGTACAGAAATTAACCAGGATCGTTAGTTAATTAACACCTCACCTTAAAATTGGTCTCGCCTTGCATATTAGGTGCTGATATTTCTTGATGGATGATGAAGAGATTGCGAGCAAAGGTCATGAGGACCCCCTGGAGATCCTCTCCGATTGTTCTGTTAATGATATCCAAACAAATGAGTTTACCAATGATTCCCTTCACATGCTTAAAAACAATCGCCCTCTCATTTGTGTCTGTCTGGTGATGGAATTTAATGAGTATTTTCAATCTCACAAGGTGGCAATCTTCAGGGAGATATGAAAGATGAGGCTCCATTTTAACTTGTCAACAGAAAGGATTTATGCAATAAATAATTTTTATTAATCAACTTACCAGAAGTAAGCAGTAAGGTTTCAGCTACTCCAAGTAAAAGGCTACCATTCAGTCGGGACTGAGAGAGTAAACACTTTAAACACCTAGATTAGTTCAGAAGAGCTGTTGCTTCTGCCTACAATTTGTGAAAGATATCTGAAGGAGAAATTTCAGCAGTATCAGCATTTCTTAGATTGTTGTGGCTTTTGAGGGTTTGGTTTCTCAGTGGTACACACAGACTTAATACATACGATCTTACGGAACAGGGTATTACGCTGAGGAAGAATGTACCTCATTTACTGACTGGAACTGACGACAGATCTCCAGTGTAGTAAAATGATGATAATTCACATAGTTGTTCCAGATATTTCAGTGATTTTATAAGCCCAAACTGTTACATTCTTGAAAATATTTCCAAATTAAGATAATGAAATTGCATTGAAAATCTGATGGAAGACAAATCTGGGATCAGAATGTATGGCAAATATATTTGAGAGTATTCTGGTAATATATTAATAAATGCCAATTCAAGCTGATGATCCAAGGGGTGTTGTTATGTTTCTTACCGGGGGAGCAACTACTGATGTATTGTTCCAAAGGAGTTAGCAAGAACGTAGGTAGGATGCAGTATCTCTAACATAAGCACTCCATTTTCCAAGGCACATGGCTAACAAAGTGAAATCACACCAACAGGGACAAGCCAATCCAACAGTTCACCGACTCTGAAAAGGGCAGGTCCTTCTCCTCTCTTCAGTTCCTCCCCATCTATCCTGCACAACTCTCATGCTCACTATATACCCCTCTATGGACTGATTCTATCTTCGCCTCACAGAAAACCAATCCAATAAAAGAAGGCTTTCTGCTGATGTATTGAGCTGAATCAACTCCTGGAGAGGTGTAAAAGTACCAGAGAATGCAGCAAAAGGAGGGTCAGGAGGGAGGAGGACTCCATAGCTGGGGTCAGGGAAGGAAAAGAGCTCACCTTTCAGCATCAGTGGGCTGTTAGGAGAGTTTAGTGGCTTATGGAACACTTTCAGATGCCTAAATCACTTTTTAAATGGCCTCTGTAGATATTTTACAAGTTCTTGTTCAGCGATTTTCTTTCAAATTTGTCTTGCAGCTCAATCGTGGAAGCTGCCTACAGGTGTGTGCAGTATAGTATAGGAATATCTAAGCTTTAAACAAATCTGACTCACTTGCATACTACCAACAGCCTCATCCACAAGGAGCTCAGTAGAGGCTGAAAGAATCATAGCTGTAGAAACAATCTTTAGGATTCATTTAGTCCGTTCCCTGTGCTAGGGCAAGATCAGTGCTGCTTATATCACCCTGACAGAGGTTTGTCTAATCTGTTACTAAACATTGTCAATGACAACTGCACCGAACAATCTAATTAGTTCTTCACTTCCCTTACCATCAGAAATTTTTCTTATGCTAAACATGAATCTTTCTTGCTGCAAGTTAAGTTCATTTCTTTTTGTCCTACTACCAAAGACAGGGAAATCAGATTTTTCCTTCACGCAGAGGCTTTTTACATGCTTGAAGATTGTTAGCAGATCTCACTTCTGCCCCCTTTAGTCTTGCTTTGTAAGTCATGCTTTCTAGAACTCTAAACATTTTCATTGCCTCCCTCTGAGTAGAATGGAAGGATTACTTCCAGTGTCTCCCAGGTTATATCGCTTACCTTTTTCCATAAAATCATGACATCGTGACTTGCAGGCAGTTTGTAAGCCACTGTAACTCACAGATCCTTTTCTGCAAAGCTAGTTGTTCCTCATATTCATTACTGCTAAGTGTAATTTCTTGCACCTGGTTCCAACTGAATGTAATTCCGTTTTTCATATTCTTTCTTCAATTTGTCGAGATCATTTTGAATTCTATTCCTGCCCTCCAGAATACTTGCAGTCACATCCAGCGCTTGAGGAAGCTGTTTTCTTGTCCAGGTCATTAAGGAAATAGCTCCAGCATCAAAGGAATACAGACCGGACCAAGAACAGACCATTTCAGCCCCTCACTCATTATTTCCTATTTTGGGAGTAAACTTGACATAAATTCTCTCCGAGGAGAGGTTTTTCAGTCACTGTATGGTAGATTTGTGCAGATTATGCTTTCTTAGACTTCTTAGGAGAGGTTCATATGTCTAAAGAATTACTAACCTACTAGATCTGCTGTTGCCTGACTGCCGTTGATCACTTTGTGAAGAACAATATAAAAAGGCATTAAACTTCAACCTTCTTTGCATTGTGTATAGTTAGCTTTTTAATAATGTTGCCTGTAAAAGTAAGCCTGTGCTAATCCGTGTGCTCTCACAGCTAGATTGCTATTGATGGTGAATCTAGCTCTCGTAAAGCTAATTGCAGTAGGTCTTTAGTCTGCAATGCAGTCAGGCTTTGATCTAAGCAGATTCCTGTACTTTTTTTTTATTACCAAATGCTTTTATTACCAAAAGCCTCCCTAAAACTTTTCAAAAGGCCAGTCGTACTTTTTTGAACAGTAGAGCGAACTTGAGCGTGTGGTGTTCAGATTGTTCATTTCCTTCATGACCTTTGTCGGCACCCAAGCCAGCACCCACTGTGGTGTCACTCTCTTCAGATCAAGTGTGTTCCCGGCTGTTTATCAGACTATGGAACTGACAGTCTATACTTACATCATTCCCAATCTGTATCGCTGCTGATCTTCATACAATATAAAAACGGTTCCCTGTTTTTCCTGTTAAATAAAAAGACAAAGTTGCTTTAAATTATTCCTAAAATAGTTATAATAAAGAAAGGCTAGTTTTGAATTGTGTGTAATGGATTATTGCTCTAACTTATTGTAGAGAATACAATACTTTATGTAAATAGAATACATATGGCAGAGTCTATTCAATAGCAGATATTTTTGTTCCAAAGTAGGAAGAGATGGTCATAAGTATCTTATCTCCTTACAGTTATTTTTATCAAGAGACAGGTTAACCCCTAAAAGCCTTACACACACTTGAAAGACAGTGAAAATACATTTAGGTTTTCCTGTTCTTAAAGTTTATCCTTCACCTTAGATCTATACTGGACAGGAACTTTCATTAACCTTCTGCTCTGGTTCATCACGGGCCTGATACTGGCAACAGTTTGGTCAGCAGCAAAACTCACAGTTTGATTGTTAGATGCGCTGAGCGACAGTTATCGCATGTCACTGTGAGAGGTCTCATGAACAGGTGCCATCCCTGGGGAGGGTTTATACTGAGAAAACACGTAAAACTCCGCATTTCCCAGTGAAGCCCTGTGCCTTAGGATCAGAAATCTCTACCTGTGTTCTGTCTTGTGTAACATCTTCTAAACTCTTCTACTTTTCATTCTTTTACAATTCTGTTCATAAGCCTTAAGCACTTCCTCTCCTAGCAAAGACTGCATTTTCATTTCTTCACTCCTCTTTCTGTTCTCCATTATCCCCCGACCTCTTGGCCTCTGAAGGTGTATCTTCTCTTAGGGGTACAGAGGTGTGTGAAAGGGCTATGTGATGGCCAAGTGCTGTCATGAAAACACAGTGCTAGCATGGTCCTAAGCCCACGCACAGCTCCTGGCTGACAGCCATAATCCTTTCTGCCCACAGAGCTGTGCGAACAAACCCGCCGGGACAGCATTATCGCCGGGAGAGACACTGTCTCACTCCCTATTGTGTAACATAACATGTAGTACTCTTCATCCTTCGCTGCTTCCAGTCTTAAGCCAAATCAGATAGATATCTCAGTACTGCAGTTCTTCAAGACTTGTACCCCAGCTAAAGTAAGCTGACAGGTAAGTGTTTAGACTAATTTTTACAGCAACTACTGAAGACCTTTATGCAATTCAGAGTTCATCAGTTAGCATCATGAAACCAATTTAAAATAAAATCAATTCTGATGTATACCAGGTCCTCTTCAGCAAAACTGTAGAGCAACACCTTGCTGTGTTTCTAACAGAACACTTAAACATTATATTATGCTAAACAGAACACTTAAACTTTACATTGTGCTAAGTGGTTTCACCATATTAGAATTTACATACAACAGTTATGCAGAGTGAATATCACATTTGCTAGTCTTTCCCGTTCATACCTGGAGGTCAAATCCAACACCACGAGCTTTACACATCTGGAGGAGAACATTATAGTAGATTACTGAAAGGCTGGAGTGCCTCAGTTGGCTGCTTGCTACTGCACACCGGTTGCTTACTGGAGAAGGCTAGAGAAAACAACACCGGATTCTTTATTTTCATACCGGTTTATATCAGAAACCAACAATTTACTATTTAAATGGCTTTTTCTCAGTGAACTCGTGTAAGTGTGCAGCAGGACTCTATTTGGAGGAATTCCTGTTGATTACAATGTCTATTGAACACAGACATTTCCATGCAGCAGAATTAAATCCTCACCTCACACTGTACATAAAACCTTGTATTACAGATGAGGTCTACAGAATGACTCTTTATGAACCACATTCTGATATTTTCACAGCTTCACTGGTAACTGAGCCCTGTGAAATCATTCCAAGCAGATCCTCTGAATCCATCCTGCCCTGTGGTTGCATACGTTGTTCTAGAGTCAGCTCTTCTCGATAGCAGAAATTCCAAAGCGGATAATCAGTAGTTTTTGAAATTGGGTTTCTCCAAGACTGAGCATTCTGCTACAGCATTAGTGTGCATAATTTTTCCAGCAAGTCTTTGAGGAGACTGGGCGCAGCGACTCCAAGGAGCTGTACGACTGATAGCAGTGGAGTTCATACTATGGATAAAAATCAGTACTGCATTTGGGTTCAAACTCTCACTGGTGCTTAGGACGAAAGAATAGAGATACTGCATTGAGTGGAACTGAATGGAGACGGTCTCCTAAACCAGGGCTTTCCTGTGATGTTTTTTTTCACACTGGACTGTTCACATTCAGAGTGGGGATACTGCACGTTGAAGCATGTAATTTACAGTATTTTTTATAAAATGATATTTGTTTTGACATTGACTCATTTAAGTTGACATAGTTGAAATCCTTATATAATACATCTCTGCCTGAAAATTAATCATGTTTATAATATTCTGAGAATTAATAACACCCATTGCTCAAGTCATTAACTTAAAAAAGGAGCTTCCAAAATCTGTTCTCTGCAGTAGGGGACCACAAATAAATGAATGCTTGATAAAATAATCCAAGTAGCAGTTTAACAAGCGTAAACTTGAATGTGGCTGCAATAACACAGAACTATTGTTTAAGGGTTGGCATCAGGTTGATGAGGTGCTTATTTCAGCTACAAAGCATGCATACACATGCATAATGAACTGCAGTATGAATTATTAATGTGTTGCTTATTTAGCCTCATCTGTCTAGAAGATAATGTATCCTAACTATAATGAGTGATTGGTTTTGTACATAATTACAGTAGCAGCAGTATCTAGGAAATTTGTTCTTTCAAAGAAGGATTTCTAAAAATAAAATCATCACACAAACTCAGTTGCTGCTCCATTTTATCAAAATCAAACCTACCAGGATTGAGAATATATAATATATTAAAAGGGACAGAATCATTATTAACATCATAATTTTACACAAAGTGTTTTACTTAATCATTCATTACAGATCATGTGCCGTTAAAGCATTTGTCTCTTGGTTTGTTTGTTTCTTTTTCTAAAGATATTTTCCTGAGAGAGTGCATTTTTGTAGTTAACTCTTAAGGAGATAAAAACCTCAGAAATACAGAAAGAAGAAAAATAAAGGATATAGTGACAATTTACGTTAAGTCTGACAGAATTTTAATTAAAAAAAAGATGCTACTTGATTACTTTTCATTTCTAAAACTTGTTCTACTGGGACTAATCATATCTAATTTACTTCTCTCCAACTAAAAGTGGTTGCTTGACAAGAACAATAGATCAAGAGCTCGTTAACCTCTAAATTATAGCTCCATGACATTTTTGGAATGGTGCTACGTTCCTCCTCTATGTATAAAAAAAGGGATTGTGAATCTTCTGTCAAAATGTGTAAAATGGCGTCTGTTTTATGTGTTTTGTATGTGTATATCTACATGTACTTATACATACATTTCTTATTCTCTGACTTTCCTAAAGGCCTTTCGTCCCTTTTTAGAGGGACAGTCTCAAGGTTCAGAGCCACATTAAACCCTGCACCAAGACTGATCTAATTTAATGAATCAGGATAATAAGCAAGTCATATGTTAACCATGCTTCTGTGACAGTGTGTTTGTAAGGATTTCAAAGCAATAGACAAATATAATCTTATTTAAAAGCACATCCCTGGGAGGTGCTATTACGGACACAATTCTAAGAGTTTTCAGAGAGATTAAAGGCGAGATCCACAAGAAACAAGTGCCGCAGCACTCATCATTTCAGAACCTAAACCTACAATCCTGTGCAACACCCACGGCGAGCTGAGCACACATGAATTCACAGCCTGTGACACCGAGCGTGGCTGAATCTGACCTGGCAATAGAAAACAGAAGGATTGAGCGGGGAGACTGCAGGGCTCAGCTACCTTGCTTGGGGTTGCAAAGAGGTGCTTCTCCCCCTTGGGCTTTGTAACTCTGGTCCAGAGAGAGCAAGCAGGAGGGAGTATGACTGCATATTCCTGCTTAGGGAACTCACCTCGGTTAGGGTGCTATGAGTTTTTCTTCCTGTTCAAATGACTGTGTCTGTAATCAATACTGAATAATTAATACTGAACAGTTAGATGAATGCAGAACTGAGTGAAGGTTCCGAGAACCAACATTTGGGTTTAACTCAAGTGAGAGCTGGGAGGGATTTAGGTGTTCAGATCCTTCTGCAGATGTAGCCCTGATTGTTTTACCCTCAGTTTTGTGCATGAAAGTACAAAGCTGAGGTAGAACTTCAGCGCTCTAACTTCTGATCCCAAATCAGAGCTCATGAGCCGAAGGCTCAGATTTCTTCTTGACTGCTTGTAAGTTACTCCTATAGTGAGGGCAGTGCTTTCACCTCCTTCCTTTTCCTTGCAACATACAAATTACCACATTTTTTACAACTTGAAAACTACCTAAAATATTTAGAAGTTAGTTACTACCACAAATCAATATTACTGAGTACAAAGGATGAATAATCAAGTACCCATAAGCATCCAGAACCTTTCCATTAATTTCTAACGTGATGGTATCCCGTTTACTTTATTACCCTTGTAAAACCTAAAAGTAGCAGTTTAAAATCTGGAAGGAGCAGATTCAGCTCCTCTAGAACAGTGATCTAGGACAGATTTTAACTTTTTGGTAGTTTACATTAATAATTTTCTTTGTAAACAAATCACTGCTTACAGTTTTTGTCTCCTCATGCTGAATACATTGGCTTTTCATTTTATTTGAACCAAGAGATACTTCAAAGCGGCTAGAGCGACAATCCAGATTTCCATCTGTCATGTACAACATGAGCTGAGTCAAGGCCAGCTGGTCACTATAGCAGAGGTCAAGGTCTGTTGCCCATACCTAATCAAAACACAAACAGGTGCATTAAAATTAAAAAAAAAAAACAACCAAGAAGGGTGAAACTCGGCAATCATACAAAGGAATATCTATGCCTTTATTTTCATGCATGTTGGTATGCATACTTAAGGTTTCTTTTGCTGGTGCATCATTAGCAGTGCTAAACCACTTCCAAACGGGAACAGTCAGAATTCTTCCATAACTTCAAAAGTAACTTTTCAGAGAAAACCGAAAGGCTAAGGACAAAACAGCGACCTGTACTGCCAAGACTGTAGCAACAATTAGAAAAAGTAGATCGATGAGCTCAACAGCTGTAAAGCCTGTATCACATTAAATAGGTAATTATCTAAATACTAAATATCACACCTGGATTTTTCAGCTGAAGAATAATTAATGTCAAATAAAGTCAACCTTGAGTTACAAACAGGTATTTTGAGATAGAAACAAGGAAGTTCCAGAAGGCAAAGCTAAACTGAGTAAGAGGAGTAGGGAAGCACGGAATCCACGTGTAAGAATATGTATCGGTCATCACAGGGGTTGAGCAAAGCCCATTCCCATTGCAATACATGGCCTTATCAAACAGTGGATACTTCGGCATGTAGAAAACCATATGACTTGCAGCATGGTTCTGCTTCCACTCACACCGCTGTTTTGTGGTGCCAATTCAGATTTCTACTCACATAACGACACAAGAAATCAGACCGTAAGACCGTAGGGCTGCCAGTGGAACATGTCCCACAGGCAGGCGGAAGGGAAGCCCACCCCACCCATGTGCAGGATGTACTTGCCGGCAACAATAAAAGCCTCATATCAACCTTAAGAAGATTTCAAAGCATTACAGCACGTAGAAGTCAGGCAGGATTTGTGAGGCCAGTCCACGCCGAGAATGTAGCAGAAGGAAGTACCATGGATTGCTTCTGCGAGGCTCCTCCGCCCCCAATAACCTGAGCGTGGTTTTACCCATGTGTTTTTCCCATTTAAAAAATGCTTTTGCCTACTACGCCAATGAGAAATGTTAACGCACACAAATATCTGCCCTACAGTGGACCCCTTTAAAACAAATCTAGCAGTGAATGACTTGAATAAGCCTTTGAATGGTAAATGGCATCATTATAAGGATATTAAGGGGTCAGGCAGCCAAGGCCTCTTGGTAAACTGGAGTTAATTTCTGAATCATATGCACATAGTAATGCCCTTTTTATAATGGTGAATAAATCACATCAGTAACAGTTGTTAATATCTAACTGCCAAGTATCTGTTGCTGTATTAAATATCCTATTTGTCAACTTAAATATTTCCTGCTGCATGGTGTAAAATGCAAATCGGATGCGAATGGCTGGCTTTACTTAGTAATAGGGGAATATTCCCCAATTATAATGCTTAATTTTCTTCAAGAATTTATTCTTTATCATCACTTCTGCAAGACAAGAAGGACCTTTCATATCGATTTGTACCTTTCCAGTATGTGCTAAGCTTTGCAACGAGCTGAATAGTAATTATAAACTATACATATTATTGAAGCATTACATTAATTTCCATAAATCTTATCAACAAATCAGTAGCAGCCAATGTGTCTTGAACCTTGTTTGAGTTGGATTTTAGATTCTCCATTAAAGCTTTGCCCCCAGAAAGAGATGGCAGGGCTACATGAGGGGACCAGGGACTGTGGAAAATCTTTGATATCCAAGGACTGTTCACTAGCTCAGACAAAGTGAACTTGGTTGCTCTTAATGCAGACCCTGATATTACACCTGCGTTGCTCTAACCTCAAAGTCTACACCAGCACTATCTGGAAGCTTTGTTGATGCGCGAACAGAGGGGCAGGAGGCAAGTTTGACTGAAGGTGGACCATAAAATGGCTGAGACGGCAAAACCACAGAAGTTACGCAAAGACATCACTGCAGCCGTAGTGCATCTGGGTAAGTACAAGGGCTGTGTTCTGGCAACGTGTAGAGAATGGGTTGAGCATTTAACAGCAGATAAAGCATTAAAAAATGCAGCCTGGCAAACATAAACAGCCATTAGCACAAGACAAATTCGTTACACCCTGGTAGACATTCAGACAAACTGTACCAAGCGTGGGATAGCACATACGTTTTGCAAGAGTTACTCAACAAATCCCATGTTGTCAGTAACTAAAATTAAAGTATGTGCAAGTGACATTGTTTTAATTTCAGATGTAGAGAAGAGACCCATTAATTACTTGTGCGATACATTTCACGTAATCTGAACAAAAACCCAGCGTGCCAACCTGGCTCTAACGCCCCACTGGCATGTTCCCAGTCGCTGCTCTGGGAAGGCACAGAAGTGCTCCTGGATCCCTGCACCAGCGGATGGCTCCAGCCTCATCTCTGCCCAAGGAAGGGGCTATAACACGGGGAAGAGGAGAAAAAGCTTTTAGCAGGGCAAGTGTCATGCTGGAAATCATGAGACCGACCACATGCTACTTTAAGGAGTTTCTGTTTACTTTTCAGAGTGTATCAACTAGTAGTTTCGGACATGGCTTCATCATCTCAGACTGACTACCCTCATACCATTGCCTACAAAATTAAGGGCTCGGGTCAACAGGGTGGACTGATGGCCTTACTGTGTAATGAAGGTGTCCATCCCCTCCCCTGCCTGTTACTCTTTAACCTTGTACGGAAGGACAGCTCTAAACACCTGCTCAAGCTTCAGTCACAGTTACATTCTACATAGGTAAAGTCATCATATTTTTTGCTTCTTTAAATATAGGGTGTAGATCTCCACAAGCACAAGGGAGAGGAAGGCAAACATGGCTGGAAGCCACCTGTCCACCTCCTTTCATTCCGGGCCTGAGCCTGAGGCTGAACCACCCCTACCGCAAGTTAAAGCAGCCAAATGGTCATTACCATGTGCCAGCTGGGATCACCCCCAAGGATTCTTTTCCTGGCTCAGCATTGTCAGAGAACACTATATTGTGGCCGTGTCCCTTTCTGCCCTGGATGTGTCCCAGAACATCCCTAATGTGGGGAGAAAGGAAGAAGGATCAGATGGCATAAGATTCCAGCTTTATCCTAGCAGGGGATTCCCTTTTGCCATGGAAATCTGGAAGTGCCCTTTAAATCCCCTTTGTACTGCTACAGAAACGGGAAAGACACAGGGCCTGGGCAATGGGTCTAACTTTATTTTCATGGATAATTTTTTCCCATTTTATTAGTTCAAATGCAGGCCAGATCATTAGTAACTAGTTGACTGAATTCTTCAGTGGAACAATTTCTAAGTTCCATTCCAGTTCCTGAAGGTCACAAGTGCTGTTTGCAAAATTATAGCAAGCAGGCAATAGGCAACGTTTTTGGTAGTTTTGAGCAAGGATGGAAGTTCAGCATGTCTGAGTCTGGCTGGTGGAGCCACGTGAAGACAACGGCTATGCAGCTGCTTATAGTGCTCTTATTCTGGAAGTACGCAGTAGACATCTGCGTGCTGGGTCTATCAGTCTGGCACCTTTCACCAATAATATATCAATATATATTCCCAAATGGAAAGGGGTAGCTCATTATATCATACTAAGCACATGTTGACCATATTGAAGTTAGCAGGTGTCCCTTGAGTGTAATGACCTAAAATTAATTGTAATAAACAAAGAAAAGAGCACCAGAATCCTTTATATCTGTGTCTAAAGAATTCTAATTAGGTGGACTCCATAGTTGATGACTTCTCATTTTCTGTGAAGATGTTACCAGGCTCATGTCAAGATCACATATTTCCACTGCTTTGAAAGTGCTCTTTGGCATGCAGAGCACTAAGCTAAATCAGTACGGCTAGGGCTGCTGTCAGCTGCAGATACAGAGAAGATCGTGAACTGAGAAAAACATCTAATGTCAGAGCAAGAGCAGCTATGCATCACACGTATGTGACCAATTTGGGCAATATAATTTAGACATACTTATTGCTCTCTCTTCTTTTGCCATATTAAAATGTCAGAGCACAGGAAGCTCTCAGCTTGGCTGCGTCTTCCAGTTCTGCAGTCCTGATGCTGCTGGCCAGCCTTAATGAAGCATCACACAGCGTGCAAGCAAAGAGGTAGACACAGAAAAGAGGGTATGGCGGAGAAGAAAGCAGCATTGACAAAGGTGGCACCAGTCACCCCAAATGGGGACACAACTCTTCAACTGAAAGAATAGTCTCTGTGAAGGACGGCAGAGACTTTTGCAGGAGAGCTGATTCCACAGACAGCTCCTCCAGCAGCTCAGAGGCACAGAGCACCTTGCGAGGAGGAGGGAGGGCCATTTATAGACCTCCAGCACTGCTCCCCACCGTCACTGGGATTGGATTGAAGGCTTTGCCCAAGTATTCTTTGGTTCCCTGCATACTTTGTAGCGCTAGATTGCATATGGCAAATAAAAGGGCACTCATCATTCTTGACATTACCACTCATAACTAGAAGGAGCTCAGGCAGGCTCCCACTATTAATGCCTTTGAAAACTGTGAAATGTAGGAACAGTTGAAACCGATACAGAAGTCGGGGGGGGAGAAGGTAAGAGTGGCATTACATGAGCTCTAAAGAAAAAGTACACAGAATCAGATAAAAGCAGCGAAGAACAGATCTTGATATAGTTTCCAGCAATGCCTGGTGTTAGAGTGGAGCAAGGAAACACTGCTTTCCAGCAAGGTTCCCGTTTCAAACGGACGAGTATCCTCCCAGTAAAACAAGCAGGATGTGACATTTCTATCTGTGGCAGACTTTAACTGAAAAAAACCTATACGCAGAAATGTGAGCCTACTGAAATCAATTAAAGGCTTTTCACTTTGTCTCAGGACATAGAATAGTAGCTGTTCCTGCAGTCTATTAAAAAAAAAAACCAAAACAACACCCAAAACGAATGACAACATTTCTTAGAAACATCAGCCCAACTCCACCTTTGTGGTACATAATCTTTAAAACAGTCTAACAGCTCCACAGAGCTCCAACCACAGGCAGAACAAACGAAACATCAGACCCGCTTACTAGTTTGGGCTGTTCTTCTCTTAGCAGGCTAGAAAGT